ATACGCATTTTTGTGTGTGCCGGCCTAGCAGAAGGCAAATTGAATAAATAAAAAAATCATACATCTACCGTAAAATACTATACTTTTATCTATATTATATTTAAAATTACAATATTTTAAGATAAAAATATTCAATAATTATAGAAAGTATGCAATCATATTTCTTTATGACTACCCTATTGTTAGATTGGCCCAACAACAATCTAGTCCTGATAGTTAAGTGATAAGTGTAAATGCCATGAAATTATAGTATCTATAAAACTAGATATTTCATATCAAAATAGGGGTGTTTTTATTTCATTTTGGAGTTTTAATACAAAATACATAAATTGGGTGAAACATATTAATGTGGTTGAATAAATCAGTTGTGGAGTAGGGTTATGTGAACCTCGTTCGCCCATGTGATTTGAAGTACAATTTGGTGAAATCTATTAAATGTGTGAGTGTGTGGCTTTTAGAATTGTGTTTTCGACACTAAAAACAATTTTTATTTTACACAGAAATTAAGAGTAGTATATTTTAATGAAAATAGCAACGGATATATTCTAATAATATGTTTTCACTGCAAAGAATTTTCATTGAAATTTTAGTTGGAAATTGACTATTCCAATGTCCATTTCTCCAATAATTTATTACCGTAGAAATTTTCGTTGATGAAATTTTCGTTAGAATTTTTATTTTCACTCATATTTCAACCGTTGAAACTTCAAAATCCAATAGAAACAACTCCAATTGGTAACTCATTTCAATGAAATATTTTAATTGGAATCCTTTGGAAATTTCAACGGAGATAATACTGGGATATTCTTGCAATTGCCCTTGAATTCCATTGAAATAATATATCAGTTGGAATTTCATTATTTTGGCAATAATTTAAATTGTATGCAAAAAGTTTGTAGGATCCAATTCTCAACCTGAAATTTAAGACCAAATTTATTGGTGAAAAAACATAGAAAATATTGGGATTAGGGTTTTGTAGTCTCGTTCTCCTACATACGGCGAGTACGATTGAATATATCCACCAATCGATATGACATAAGATTAACATCCTAAACGTAGTAAGAAATATGTGGATGAATTAATAGTGAATTTTTGTTTTGAAAATATATAATAATGGCCATTTTTAATTTTTTTAAACGTGTTAGTGGGATTTAAAGAGAAAAAATGAGATGAAGTGAGTAATATTATTTCATAAATTAAATTTCCCATTTTATTTAAATAAATCTCAAATCAACAAACAAAAATAAAAGGAACTATGTATCACCTTAATTTGCTAGTTGTAACATTTTATTTGAGGAGTCTATAAAAGTCGATATAGATTGGTAAGTGCATTTAAGACTGGGCCTACAAGTTAGACGCCGTACACAGATACTTGAGCCCAACTTTGATAGTATTTGATGACAAGTAACAACATCTGAGATGTTGTTCATTTTCTCTTTCTTTTTTAAGTCCTTTACTTTCAACTTGGTAGGGCCTGCTTGTTTGGTGAGGGATTAAATGAGTCCATCATTTAGGCCCACCAATAAAATTATATTTTGAAATTTTACCCACTGATTATGGTAATACAGTTGAATATTTGATCCACTATTTTTGGAATAACTATAAAATAATATTTTTTAATTGTTTTGACAAAGGTGAACGAGAAAAACGACAACCCCGCGTGGAAAGCAATCGGCTACCCAGGCCCGGACCCGGACCGAAAACCCGACCCGAACTCCACCACGGAAAACCCATCCGGGCCCCTCCACAAAGGCATCGTCAACTTGACCCATCAAAAGCAGAAATCCCTCTACAAGCTACAAACCCTAGGCTTCCCCATATCCATGCTCAACGCCAGCCGGCCCAAATCTCTGGAAAAAAACCCATCTTTCACCGTCAAATGTGACGTGGCCGTCGTCGGCTCCGGCTCCGGCGGCGGCCTGGTCGCCGGAGTCCTCGCCAAAGCCGGCCACAAAGTCATCGTGCTCGAAAAAGGCGGCTACTTTGCCCGGGATAACCTTTCCCTCCTCGAAGGCCGTGCCATGGACCAAATGTACCTCAACCACGGCATCCTCGGCACGGACAACATGGATGTCCTCATAGTCGCGGGGTCCACCGTGGGCGGTGGGTCCGCCATCAACTGGTCGGCCTCGATTCGGACCCCGCGCCATGTGGCGCGAGAGTGGAGCCAAAAGCACGGCTTGAAACTTTTCGAGACCGAGGCCTACGAGCACGCGTTGGACGTCGTGTGCGCGAAGATGGGCGTGCAATCCGAGTTCGAAACCGAGGGTTTCAACAACATGATTCTCAGAAAGGGTTGCGAAAATTTAGGGTACCGCGCGGAAAACATCCCCCGCAACGCGCCCCGCGACCACTACTGCGGGTGGTGTTGCCTCGGGTGCGCGGACGGTCGGAAGAAGGGTACTCCCGAGACTTGGCTCGTCGACTTGGTCGAGTCAGGAAATGGCTCGATTCTGACGTGTTGCGAAGCGTTAAGAGTCGTCACCGAGAAAAATTGGGTTGTTGGGGGTAAGGGACGGAAGAGACGAGCGGTCGGGGTGGAATTCATGTACGAGACAGAAACGGGCCGGGAGACCGGGCTCGTCGAGGCCCGAGTGACGGTAGTGGCGTGCGGGGCCATATGCACGCCCGGGCTTCTCAGACGGAGCGGGCTTAGGAACCCGAACATCGGGCGGAACCTGCGGCTCCACCCGGTGGTGATGGCGTGGGGCCATTTTCCGGACGGGCCCGATTGTTGGCCCGGGCCCGAGAAGCGGAGCTTCGAGGGCGGGATCATGACCGCAATGTCGAAGGAGGTCGCGAACTTCGAGACGTCGGGCTACGGGGCGTTGATCCAGACGCCGTCCCTCCACCCAGGGATGTTCTCGATCGTCACCCCGTGGGCCTCGGGTCAGGACGTCAAGGCCCGGATGGTTAAATTCCCGAGGACGGCCCACGTTTTCGCCCTTGCACGGGACGTCGGGTCGGGTGAGGTGGTCTCGGAGACGGACGTGAGGTACGAGGTGGGCCCGGCCGACACGGAGAGTTTGAGGGAAGGGGTCGGGAGGGCATTGCGGATACTGGCGGCGGCGGGTGCCGAGGAAATCGGGACCCACCACAGGGAGGGCAGAGTTCTGAAGGTGAGGGAGACGGACAGGAGGGAGCTCGAGAGGTTCGTGGAGGAGGAGAGTTCGAGGCCGGTTAGTGGGCTTTCGACACCCGTGTGCTCGGCCCACCAGATGGGGAGCTGTCGGATGGGAGTCGGGCCGAAAGTGTCGGTGGTGGGGCCCACCGGGGAGAGTTGGGAGGTGGAAGGATTGTACGTGGCGGACTCGAGCGTGTTCCCGACGGCGGTAGGGGTGAACCCGATGGTGACGGTGCAGGCGGTGGCGTATTGCACGGCGCGAGCGATCCAGGAGGCGCTCGGCGGCGGGGAGAAGGCGAGGGAGGTTTGAGCAATGGGTTGGGGGATTTAGGGAGGTGTAGTTTTGTTGTTGTTGTTTGATGATTATATGGGGTTGGATGGATTTTGTTTTTGTGGGATTTTAGTGAAATTTGTGTGGGATGGTTTGGGATTGTGATGTTTGATTTTGATAATTGTGTAAGGTTGATATAGTAGTTCATTGTTGAAAAAAAAGTGTACTTCGCTATTATTATTTGGTAATATTGACTCTATAAGTGAATAAAATTATAAAATTGGTACATAGGAGAGAGTGATATTTTTGTACGGTTTAGGCGAGGATAAGTTCAAATTTACAAAAGATGAAATTTTGATGAAATTATAGTTTGTCATAAATTATTGGCTTACAAATCCCTATTTATTTACAAATTTATGAACTTTTTATTTTTAGTTATAAACTGTTTCAATAATTGATTTGTAGTTTATTTCCGTGGTTAGTTTTTAAGAAGTTTATTATTATTATTATTATTATTATTATTATTATTATTATTATTATTATTATTATTATTATTATGATTCGTTGATGATTGAGTGACATTTTATTGCTATGGGCTGAAGCACGAAGCCCATTTGAACTTTGAAGTGTTTGAACCTTCCGATAGAAATAGTAATTTCATCTTAGTGGTTTCCAAACTTAAACAAATAGAGTTTATAGGCTTCTATTNGTTTGTTTACGCAATTTCATTAACTTTTATCATAATCCGACTTGTTACGGGCTTGAACCTGTTTATCGGCCGTTGAGTTAACATCTCAATTTGGTTCGATAAAGACACAACATCCAAGCTCGAAAGTATCAAGTGCTTGAGCTCGACTCGACTCGGTCTGTTTTACATGCAAACGATTCACAAGTAATCTCTATGTGAAAATCAATCAATTACAACATATTCATACTTATAACATGAAATCCATACACAACTCTTTATTATTATTCATTACAATTTATTTTTTCGAATTGTATAATATAATAAACCAACCAACCACATATGGTTTTGAACAATTTTTTTAAAAAAAATATATATGCAATAAAATTTGTAATTTAAGGGCACTTAGGTTGACCCTTGGAATTTTTGAGGTCCCTATAGCAAGGGCAAGCATCCTTATTCCCATAAGTGCCTGGAGGCACACAATTGCACTTTGCACAGCAAATTCCACAGTATTTGAGGCATCTCTTATGAAGGCTTGCCTTTGAGCACCTCACTCCACATTTCGAGTCGCAAAAACCTTCACACGAGTGTAATTAATATGTATGAAATGTCATATTTTTATTTATATAATCTTATAAAGTGTGACATATAAAATGTATAAAAGTATGACAAAGTAACTATTATACAGCTTAGACTTGTAAGATAAATAATGTCATTTTATAGACGTGACATTAGTACGATTAGTGAAACGCGTAAGATGAAAAACATATATAATTAGAAAAAAGTTAGAAAAAGAATTGTTAACTATATTAATTAGCATATGAATTAGAGCTCAAAGAGTAGAAATCTTCATACTTGAATCTGCACCAATTAATCCAATCGAGCTAGAGCTTAACACCAAAAGGATAAGCAAGAAAGACAAAGTGCAGGGCTTCATTTTTTATTTTTTATTTTTCCCCAAGAAAAAACTATAATAATGTGGAATAATTGAATTAAATTTAGATGTTCTTTTACTTGAAAGAATGTGAGATGTTGGAGATGTATATATAGCTAAACGAAATAAAGATGACGGATGGGCTATCATGTTCAAAATTGCCAAAAACTGATGCTTTTCCATATAAAATTGGTTTTTTTGGTGCATGTAAGAAATTAGCCATATTATGCAAATAAGCATATATATGCATAATTTTTGTATGGAAAAATGATCTGTTTCCAGACTGGCTAGTTGGTGGATTTTTTTTTATTTTGTAAGCAAACTTATATAAATATAATTAAATAACAGAAAAAAAAAGGAAAACTAAACAAATCTAACTATTTATTACATCAAATATTGAATACCAACAAATATATATGTATATCTGTTAGTGACCTAAGAAAATAAATTTCGTGTTTCTTTTCCTTAAATTGATGTCAAAATTTTGAATTAGAAAATAATCCCCAATTTTTGTTTTCAGATTATTTGGAAACTTTTGATTTTGACATGTAAATTTGTTCAACCAGACATTGCTCCTCATTTGAATCCCATGGGCCGGGTAGGAGATAGAGTTCGCTTCTTAGGCCTAATACCATAACTCCTAGCCCATTTATCAAATTTGAGATCCAATTAGAAAGTCCAAGTCCAATCCACACAGACACTTCTACCGAGCACTCCCAATTGATTTATCTTTTTTTAAAGATCTTCGCAATTTTGAAAGAACATTAATTTCACAACATTTAAAGAGAAATTTGTGAATAACTATAAATGTAAATAAATTAAATAATTTAAGTTATTTGTATGTATATAATAATAAAATTATAAGTTAAATAATAGTATTATATTTCAAACATATAGTATTATAAGTTATATTTACGCATATAATATTAAAATTATAAATTAGATAATAGTATTATATTTTAAAATTTGATCATTGGTTAAAATAAATAACACATATGATTTGATTGCATACGAATTACAATATTGATTGCATAAAATGTAATAAATATATCTTTTTTGTAATTTTGAGTGATTATGATCAAATTAATTAGCTGAAAAATACTAAAATTTAGTATAACAATTGCTTAAGTGATTTTTTATTATGACATACAAAAAATTTAATTTATTTAAAAATTAATCATATAAAAAAATATAATATTAATTTTAGTGTAAAATAAAATTTTATGTAACTTTCATATATCATTTAGTGTAAAATATAATTATTAGTTTAATATTAATTATTATATGATTCAATAAAAAATATAATTATTACTCAATTAACATAAAATATAATGGTTTTTGTCTTAATTAACGCAAAAAAGTGTTATGAAATAGTCTATTACTATACAGTGTTATGAAAGATTAGCTCATTGCAAATCAAAATTCCAAATAATAAATCGATACTAAAAAAATATTACAATTTGACAACTGTGTTAAAAAATTTTGGCGATCGACCAACTTAAATACTAGTATGATTCATATAAGAATGATAATATATTAGCGGACATCATTTTGTTTTTCTCAAAAGTGCTACATCACCGAATGAAATTTGGCAACTTTTGTGTAATTGAATAATTAATTTCAATCCGGATTTAACCAGTCAAATTCATTTCCTATCAAACAATTTTAAATTTAATTGTTTAACTCAAAATCCAATTTAAATATAACTCAATTTAATTCTCCTAAATATTATCAATATAATTATATGATATCAACTCAACAGTAGACATCAACCATAATAGAACGACTTAATTACACAATAATATAGGTTACATAAAAGTTTACAGTTGTACATAAGAGGATTTAATGAGTTAACGAATTGTGAAAAAAGATGCAGGCATGAAACACAATTTGAATAATGCAAAGATGGGTTGTCGATCTATCGTGTAGATCGACAAACAAAGAAGCATAGCAGTGTGTGTATATATTTTATGAATTAGCTTCGTCTGTTTTTAATGAACTTAAAGGGTTGAATTTATATACAAAATAAGAAAAAAGAAAAATCAGCGTAAGTTAGAGCGTCAACTAAGGGTGTAGGGGAGTGACACGTGTTCCCATGCGAAAACTCGTCTTTTGATGATAGAACCAGCTGAGTGGTCGCTTTAACAGTTGTTCTTTCAATTTCTATTTATACTGTAGAGAGATGAACAATTTTCATAGGCCTCGTTTACATCCTGGGATGGGATTGAACACATTAGTCCCATCTCCTTTCCACGTCAGCACAAAACGATTTTAATGCAATCTCAATCATGTGTTTACTACACGTGATAAATTTAACTGTTGTGGAATTAAAAGCCAAATATACCCTCCCTCATCCAATACACTATTATCATCTGCCTAATTCAACACTCCTCGTCGGCGACCTTTCTTCCCAATTTCAAAATCCATTCCACAAATTTGTTCGCCAGAAATCCGCCGGCCACTTGCACAGAGGGGCGACGACGACTGCTTCACTCTGCAGATAACGCTTGCGTAAAAAAAAAAAGATTAAAAACATGATTCGAAAAAATAAACAAAAAAACATACCTTCATAATATGTATGAGCTTGAATTAACAAACCCATTTTAGGATAACTGAATGAATAGAAGATTACCGTCACCTTCACTGAAGACCGAATTCCATGAACTGGGGTTTTTGCGGGAAAAAAAAACAATTAGCAATCAAAGAATCCGATTTAATGGACCACTATGGTTTAAAATTGCACGAATGGAATCTCAAATTAATTCTAAGACCTCACCTTTGGCATGATGAATATCCACTGCCACCAATGTTGATAGCCTTCTTCCCGACAAATTAAAAGCTCTTGGAAGAAAGAGGGCAAATGGCAGTTTCAGATTTTATATGGTATATCGGTAATTAAATTAAGAAGAGGTATTTTAATCTTTTCAAGTTCAAAATTGAGGGTAAAATAGTCATACCGGGTCTAGGATTAAATTATCTCATGGGGGAGGCGGGACAGAATTAATCGGCAAATAGCGGATATAGAAGTGGGACCCACAGCCACATGTGCGCCACATCACACAAATCTCATCCCGTTCCCTCAAGGTAAACACAGGATAATCCAGGACAATTTTAATTATCCTGTCCCATCCCGCGAAGTAAACGTGGCCATAAGGAATAGAGACATATCGACATTTAAACTTTGAATGTGGATCGGCGCAACATCGGTAATATGTCTTCTTGGGCCTTTCATTTTTACAATTCTAGGCCCATTTTGAAGTAAGCCTGGTCTCCATTGTATTTGATTTGTTCTCAGACTTAATGGCTAGCCCAAAAACATGTAAGTAATCTTTATGTTAAACATCAATCAATCTGCATAACACAATTTCCAACAAAATTTACTATTAACAATCAAATTCGACACCTCTCCGACTTTGATTTTATATCAATTTTAATCATACTACATTTTAATTTATTTCAAATACAAACTCAAAATCTAATAAAAAAAAGCTCTACTTAATCTACTTATTCAATAAATTTAAATCCAATCGAAATAAACTTATGTCCAACCCACAATTGAAGGCATCCACACACGAGAAATATATTAGAAATGTGGCTTATATGTACACCAACCAGATGCTTTATAATTGCAATTCCACGTACACGTTTTCTTAACATAAACACTCCGAAAATCTAAACCTATATTTAGGTTGACTCCAATTTCTATATTTATTATACTAAACAC